ATGATGAAATTATATATTGATCTGATGATAAAAATGCTTGAAAACTTGAAGGTCCCTGTGTTACTCCAAGGAGTAATGCTGAAGTATTGGCCAAGTCACTGTTACTGACAGCATTGTAGAACAGAGCTACTTCAAGTGGCAAGGAGCTGCTACGCATATGTATATTGTATGTATGATATGGCATGTGTATATAGCATAGCATGTATGTGTACTGTGCATATAATTTTGCACAATATCCTTTGGTCCCCATGAGGGCTTGATTCCAGTCCCTCCTCCCCCATGGGCATCAAAATCTGTAGACACTTAAGTGAAATAGCTCAACATTTGCATATAACCCCCACACACACACATCCCCCCACATGCTTTCTGTAGCTCTAGGTCACTCATGATGCTGACACCTGATACCAACAGAGATGCCATGTGAACAATGTTAGATTGTGTTGGTAGGAATAATGCCTAGAAGGAAAAAGCTATTTATGTTCAGTACAGGCCAGTGCCATTTGCCATTCCCACCTCACACGTAAAACCTCAGGCACAGAGGCCAACTGTGACTCCCCTGAAGCCAAGGTGACTGGCTTCGGTGTAAGAACTTCATCTGACATAACCCTGGAGTTCTGTTATTTGCACAAACCCCCTTGTCTTGACAGAAGGGAAGCGAAGGGAAGGCCCAGGCCCTGCTGTGCTGAGGAGAAGTCAGGGGTGGGGCCTGGAAGTAGGCTCCTGAGCACTGGCCAGATCGAGGTGGGCTCTCCCTAGACCCCCGTGTTGTAACGGCCTTCGTCTCTCTGCAGACCAGACATCTGCCCTGTTTGTGCCGATGCCTCAAGGCTGTGGCTCTTGTGTGGGGCAGCTCGGGTCTTATTCCTGAGCAAGAGCCCAGTGTGGGGTGGAGGACTGTCCCACACAGTCCTGGCAGTGGGAGCAGGCAGGAGAGTTGGCCTTCTCACAGGGTACATCCATTAGGGTACTGATGCTTTCTTTCCCACCTTATGAACATGTTCCAAGTCTAGCCAGGACTGGTGGTGATCCTCAAAGAAGGAAGTCACTCTGGCCCAGGCCACAAAACACTTCACATCATCCATGAGTAGCTGATGACCTCTTGGGGCAACTTCCCCGCAGGGTGGGACTAAACCCAGAGCTCCCTGGGGTGGTCTCTAGGCCTACATAGAGGGACAGCAGGCTCGCGGGTGGGTGGTGAAAGAGCATTTAGCCAGACTCGACTTCTTTTCAGGAAGACTGAAGTTCAGGAGTGGAGGCTGGGGCATCAGGGCTCCCCTTAGGCACCAGGAGGAGGGAATAGAGCCCAGGCTCATGCAGCATCTAGGAACCTGTGACTGAGCTTTGGTGATGTGACCTGGAGGTACAGTCCTTCTGTGACCCTGTAGGGCTGAAAGAACAGAGGGGCGTCCTAGGGAGAAAGTAGTGCAATGGAGTGTGTTCCCTTGATCACTGTGATGACTGAGATAGTAACAGTTTGCCTTAACTGTCAGCTTGAATGATTGGATTGAGAAGGGCAGAGGAGATCAGCAACACACACCTTTGCGTGTCTGGGGTGGTGTTTCCAAAGAGGGCTCTGGCCAATGGGCGCATTGTATCTTTCCATGCCTTTATAATATTGCTATGGCATTGCTGAGAGGCCTGCCTAGGCAGAAGCAGGCTCTTATCTGTGTGCCTCAGAGGCTGTATTTGCCTTGAACCCTTCCCTTCCCCCTGCTTCCTGCCACCACAGTGTGTACTCCCCTGGCCTGTCATGTCCTCCCGCCACGAAAGGCTGACACCTCTGAAACCCTGAGCCTGAGCACTCCTTTTAAGTTGTTTACATTAGGCCTTCTGTCACAGTGACTGGAATGCTACCACAGTGACATTAGGACAGGGTCTCACTGTATAGCCCAGGCTGACCTTGAACCCCCATAATCTTTCTGCTCCAAGAGCTGAGGCTGCAGGCAGTACTATCATGCCCAAGGTTGTCGGTATTTTTCATTTCATCCATGCTGATAGTCTCAAGGGTGCTGATTTTCTGTTACTGAGACAAAATGCCCAAGATCAGTGTGTTCTAAGAAGGAAGAGCTTGTTTTGGCTCATATTTTCAGGGTTCTAGAGTAGTTATCTCCTTTGCGTTTGGATCTGTGATGACAACGTGTATCATGGTGGAGTGTATGGTGGGAGCATGTTGTGTTGACCATGAAGAGAAGAGGAAAGACAGGAAGAGACAGGGTTTCCAGCACGTATTTCAAGAGCAAGCCCTCAGCGACTTAACATCCTCCCTCTGGGCTCCACCTACTAATGGCCGCACCACAGGCTGGTGAGCAGGCCTGCAGTACAAGGTTCTCATGAGGACACTCACCAAGCGTTAGTACAGTTTCTCGTCGCTGTTTAGTCTGCTTTTCTCCAATGGCTGGTGGCGTTGTTGTCTTCTCACTGGCTTTCTTGCCATCCATCTATCCACTCCAGTGATGATGTATGATCAAGTCTTCTATATGCCTGTTATAAATGAGTGGTTGTTTCCTGCTCATGAGTTTTGAGGCTTTTAAAAAGGCATCCCAGATAGATGTCGTTTCTTCACTCGGCTTTCTTCCGTGCAACAAATGCTTGTCATGGAATCATTTCTCACAGGGTGTTCTCCCGCCAGGGCCTTTTCAAGGGGGAAAATATATTGGAGATCATGAAAAATTCATTGGAAATCATGAATTCTGTCAGCCTGACTTGGGTCAGGTGCAGACCCCCTTTTGTGGCTGGGGCCAGGCAGTGCTGCATTTGGCCAAGCATGGGAAACATGCCTCCCTATAAGAAAACAGTGAGAAAGGAGGTAATTCTCCAAGAGAAACTGATACTGACCACAAAATAGGGGGATGGGTACCAGTCGGGAGCATGGTAACCACAGCATGGGAGGAGCTGGTGAGCACTCCTGATGTGCTCCAGGTGCCAGACAGGGCCATAGCTGCTCATTCTCCTGCTTGATTGTCAAGGAGGCTTTTGTCTCCCTTCCAGAGTGAAGGGCACCACAGCCGGAGAGGCCAGCACCTTGCAAGTGTCTCATGGCTGCAGAGCAGGTGTGTGCGTCTTCCAGCCCTGAGGCCTTGAGGCTGGTGTAGGACAGCTTTGTGACAAAGTCTGGCCCGTGCCTAAAGACACTAAGTTAGATTTGTTCAGGGCTTCATTCCTGTAAGTCAGTAGGCCTGCTGTAGTCCGGGATCTTCAGAGACTGAGAACAGGAGTCCAGAAGGGGATCGTATGTGAAGAGGCCTTCCATAAATGGGTAGGTGCTTCACATTGACTTTAAGAAAACTCTTTCTTAATATTTTTTCTCTTTCTTTTAATCTTTAATGGTAATGTCCTGTGCAGCCAGCTAGCCAAATTTTGCTTGGACTTCTCCATGGACAGGGACTTTTGATACTGCGTTTTCACTTTGTAAGCCTTAATTTACCAAACTAGAAGGTAATTAGCTTAGCTGAGTTCTGCAGTTTCTTTCAGCTTTAACACCTTCAGTTTCCATCCTCAGCACCATTTGTGTGTGTATGTGTATGTATATGTGTGTGTGTGTGTGTGTGTGCACATGTAAATATCAGATGATTGATATGTCTGTCATGTGTGTCAATCATGTATACCACACACACTTAGATTTGATCTCTACACGTGGTATGCATACATCAGACTATCATAATATACTCCATAAATATGTACAAGTGAAAATAATAAGCTATTTTTATTGTAATTATACAGATTTATTATAATTATACATAGCTCCCTGTGGACCAAATGGTAATTATTGGCTCAGGAAACAGGTGTCTGTAGGCTTAGCTTCAAGCTGAACTAGATACCGTCAGATTGCATCCTCCCAGTTTCTGTATATCGCTTCATTCTCAGGCTGACCTCACCACAGATGTGGTAAGGTGATCAGCTTCAGAGGAGGAGCATTGGTCTCTCTCAGAGTTGGCCCTAAAGTCTCAGGGCTGAAGCTAACTGACCTTGATTGGTCCAGCTCACATGTCCACTTCTTCCTAGTCACCTTGGATAGCCCCTCCTCTGTTTCTAAGGGGCTGGACAAGATGGAGAAGGAGGCTCCATGGAGAAAAGTTAATGTGCTGTCCCCACTGAGGCATATGCCTGTCCGACCGTTACCTCAGTTTCCCCAAATTTGTTACCAATGTATTGATTCCTGTGTGTACTGGAGCATGTGATCGAGGTCAGATATAGCTCAGGAAACAGAGGAGGCAGGTGCTGTTAGCCCACTTCACAGATGGAGAAGCTGAAACTCCAGAGACATCTGAGTTGGCCTGAGCCCTCACTGGTGGAAACATCAGGGTAGCTCAGTATTTGGGCAATGGAAGAGGTTAATAATGCAAGTACCTGACTTCTCTTGATTGGTGTGAAGGTTTTAAGAATTACTCTGACAGAGAAGCCACCTGGGGAGCAGTCAGGCACCCTTACAGTGCTGGCGTGCAACTGCCCCAAGCTGACCCTGTGCCATCCCCACCACAGCTCTGCAGGCAAGGGCTATTATTCCCCTTCTATTAAGGCTCCAAGACAGTAAGGGACTGACTGGTCTAGCTGGTCCTTGGCCAAGCTGAGTTTTTCTGCCTCAAACTCCTCCTCAGTCTTAGGAATGGAAGAGTTTCTTAGTCTGCTTTGCGTTGTTGTAATAGAATGGCACAGGTGGGTAATTGGTGAAGAATGGAAGTTTATTTCTTAGAAGCTGGAAGCTTCCCACAATCGAGGAGCTCTCATCCGACAGGGCCTCTGTGATGCTTAACTCATGGCAGAAGATAGGTGAGAGAGCAGGACGGGGACAGCTGGACTAAACTCACTTTGCTAAGAAACCCACTGGGCATCATGAACCCAGTCCTGAGCTAATGCCCCTGACCCATTAGAGACCTCACACAGGTGCACCTGCCAGTACTGTTCCATGGGGATGGAATCCCTGGGATCTGGACTGGAAGAGGATGCTCCAACCAAGTCATCCCCCTATAGTTAACACTTATCTCCTCTGTCCCTCCCTGCAGGTCTACATCATCCGAGTCACGTGGTCCAGCGGCACCACAGAGGCCATCTACCGGCGCTACAGCAAGTTCTTCGACCTCCAGGTGGGCATTTATGGTAGGGAGAAGGTTATTTGGACTTTGGGGCATAAGTGAGGAACCATGTTGAACTGAGTTTTGTACAGTGACCATGTGGCGATCCAGAATGCTGAGCCTATCTGGACACCTTGCACACACCGTCTCCCCAGCACCATCTCCTAGCTTGTACACCACTGACTGTCAGCTGGGATGCTACTCTGTGCTTTCCTACCTGAATCATTGGCCTGGATGACTCTCTGCCATCAGGGTCCCCAGCTTCTGGAAACCTTGTCTGACTTTGTTCTCTGCTCATCAGGAGCCATCACTCAGTGCTGTGAGTTTCTTCATATTGATGTTTTCAGCTTATCTGTCTCTTCTAGACCATGACAGTCATGGGCAGGACCATGTCTTTCCCATCCTTTCTTTCCTTGATGTTTTTATTCAAGGCCTGGCACATAGCACATGTTCACTTAGCGACTGATGTATGTTGCATGAGTGAGTATGTGAATGAATGAATAAACAAATGAACAAGTGAACAGCATACACCACCAGTACACCACCAGTCTCACTGTGAGCTTTGGACAGCTCAATAGGGTCATCTTCACTAGCGTGACATGATGCTAATTCTGGGCCTGTAGCTTCCATGTCTCCAAAAGCAGATAACTCCAAGGAGGCTGGAGAAGTCAGGGTCCTTCAGGAGGCGATGTGGCAAAGCTCTTTAGACAATGCCACAGACACACAGGGATGTCCCTGGCTTTCTGAACTTTTGTGCATTCTCCCTATTGTGTGGTGAGGGTCCAGGGCAAGCTTCCATCCCACAATGGGTGTATGGTATCTGCCCTACTAGTTACAGAGCAGCTAAGATTTACTTGGGGTATTTTGGCCATGAGATTGACTATCCTAGGAGGAGAAGGCTTCCAGGCTTCAGACACAGCTTACTGTGGAGTTTTCACTCTGTGTCTGACCTGACTCCTCCTTCTGTGTCCCCACATCAGTGCTATTGGCTTCATCCTCAATCACACGTGATTACAACTCTAGGCTCCTGCTTTATAGTAAAGGGTAGCAATGACTTCTCACATGTTCTGGCAAGCACTTTGTGTTTTGTTGCCTTAGCTCTATTCCAATCACTATGACAGCCAATGGGCTTTCCTGGGTTGCTGTTCCAACCTTGATATCAGGGCATAGACTGGGCTAGGAAGGAGAATCACGGGCTCTGATAATATTAACCGCAGGCATCCTTGACGACATAGACCCATGCTGTTCCTGAGAATGTGGACTGGAGAATGTCCGGAGTGCAATAGGCTCCTGACTGCTCTCTCAAGTGCAGCTAAAACAGTCCCCAAATGCCTTCACAACACAAAGCCAGGAGTTGCTGCATTGTGTAAAGTGGGTGAGATACCAGTCATTTAATTATTTAAAACATAATGAGCTCATCGTGATGCTTTGTGTTTGGCCGCATGTAGCCACATACAGTTATAATTTTCTGCTGCTCCGCTGCAAATGAGCTGAATATTAATAAACAGCGGGGATACCTGTAAAACTTGCTGTGGGGCTGGGATGCGGCTGAGTGGGAGAATATGTACTTCACACACACAAGACCGAGAGTTTGACCCCTGCCCCGGAATAAATAAACCAACCACCATCTAAAATGAGCAGATAGGAGAAGAAAACACAGGGAAAGGAGGCATGGGGCAGTGGTGATGACTGGCTCCATCCAGTGCCCTGAGCAGGTGACACAGGCCCATTTGAGAGTGGCCAATAGCATTCAGTGATGCTCCGCCCATTCACACAGACAGGTGATAATGCAAATGACCTAGAGCCTTTGCCTATTGCTAGGCTGCTGTTAGAGGCAGTGGTGTCTACCTCGGGAGTCCTGTCTTGGCATGTGTTCGGTGGCTTCTTGCCAGCCTGGCAACTCCAAGAAGGAACAGTGGGGCTAAGGAAGAAGAGTGACATGATTGTCATCCCAGGGGTTATTTACATCTGCAGAGCAGAACCCACTCAGCTAGTTAACACATGAAGGGAGAAGTGGGTTGGATTCATGGGCAGAGCAGAGTGTTGCCTGGAACCCAGAGAATACACTGCTTTGACCTTGGGAGGGCCTAGTGACCACTTGTGACCTCAGGACCCTCTGACCAACCTGCTTTCTTTTCCCACTGGCCACCCTAGTCCAGCCTCTTGGCTTGTCTGTTGGCCATCATACTTAGCATGTGTCCTCAAGTCAACACCTTCAGTCTCTGTCAGCTGTCTTTCCCTGCTCTCGGGAACCTGGATCAGACTCTGTCCCAGCCTGTCAGCTGTGGTGGGGAGCCAGTAACACTGGGCTAGGGGACACCTGAGTGGGAGGGAGCCCTGTGAATCCTGGCATATTACAGCTAGACTGCCACTTGAATTCCTTATTCCAGCCTGGCCCAAGGCCGAAGACAAACACAAGTTCAAGACTCAGGTCTCGAATTGGTGTTACCTCCGTCCATTTCTACGCCTCCATTTTCTCCTTCGCTTTTAATGGGGAAGAAAGTGCTTCCGCCGTGTTCTTATTATGACAGTGAAATGAGATGGACTTGACTCAGTGCATTAACTGTCATCTGCCCCTCTCCACGGATGTGACACCTGCAGTGACCCTGCAGTGACCTCCGTTGCTGGGTCTGGTCACAGGTCTTCCCAACCCAAATCCTGCACTTACGAGGCCCCTGTTCTTACTCTCAGTTTTTCTTCCCAGCCCAGTCAGCTCAGTGTAGTAAGGATTAGGGTTTGCTGGAGAAGGATTGGCTGCCTTGGGTGGCCATCCTGCCATGGTGTCACTGTTCAGAAGCCTGGCTCCATCAGGTTTTAAGGAGTCCCAGATGGTGTGGTGGCAAAGTGGGAAAGCCATATGATTCTAGGGGGTCTGGTTCAAGCTAGAAGCAGCTTCCCCATACCCATACCCACCCCAGAGGGGTAGGAGAGGTTGGGCCACTCAGTTCAGCTGTCCCCAAGGACTAGACAAGGAAACCAGCTCCTGTGGGGCCATGACACCCCAACATTAGATGATTTCATGATTTCATGTCCTATTTGGCACAGTTTTTAATTTTTGTTTTGAATTATTTTTTTAGAAGTGACTTGGCTCACAGTGAGGGGAAGGCTGAGGCTTGGTGGAGGAGGGGCAGCTGAACTGGTGTGGTATAATAGAAAAGCAGAGAACTCAAGCCCTGGGTCCAGCCACCCCCTGCTGTGTGGCCTTGGGCATACTCCCTTACTCTTCTGTGTCTGAGTAATGTCACTGGTGATATGGGAACTTGTCAGTAAAAACAGCCAGCATTTCTGAAACTGTTCTTGGGCCCAGTCCATTCATTTAATCATCACAACCAAACTTATCAGGTTACACAGACCAAAGCGCCTGGGCTCAGAGAAGTCCATTCACGTGTGCAGTCACACAGAGTATGACAGTACTCAGATCTGAGGCTATGTGATGCCAAAGTCCATGCTTTTAGCCACCCTGCTCTCTGTCACTGCTTTTGCTACCAGCTACAAGTTCAAATTGGTGATTGTGCCCAGAAGGGGCAATCCCACAGGGCTTGGGGAAGGGGACGATGGGCAGACAGTGGTTGTAGACGTTGGGTATCTTTTGGGGGTGATGAAAATGTTCTAGAATTAGATAGTGGTCATGACTGCTTGCTGTGTAAATACACAAGGAACTGCTGAGTGGTACATTTTAAAGAGTGATCTTTGTGGTATGTGAAGCATAGCTCCTTTTATTTATTTTATTTATTTATTTATTTTTCCTAAGAGATGGAGACTACAAGAATAGCCCTGGGCTGCTGAATATGGAACAGGTGCTAGCTGGTAGGATGCCTGACAGGCCCAGGCTGCTTGAGCTCAGCAGAAAGATAAAGAAAGGGAGGGCACGGTACCAGTGCTTGAGCTTCCAGACTTTGGAATTTGACAGCTGGGCTTTTGTCAGTTCTCAATGCTTCTGGACCAAGGTCCAGTTTTTGTCGGATCATCATGGTGCAGACAGGAGGACCCCAGCTAGGTTGGATTCTCCCAGCTCATGTTTGTTAGCTGAATGGAACTGAGAAATCCAAGGACTTTTGGCTTTGGCTACAACTAGGCCCAGGGCCACCGTGTCAAAGACTTGTCCCCCCTCCACTGTGCCTGGGCCCCATGGCAGCAGCTGCTGCTGCAGACAGTGTCTGGCACATCAGCGCCATTACTTTGGGGAAAAATGAATGTCTGCTATGGTTTAAGCTCATCTTGGACCATAGGATGAGGTATTCAAGGCCAGCACAGAAAACAGGATCAACATCTTGATAATGGGCCCAAATGCCAGCTACTAGAGGACATCAGGAAAACCAGAACCATAGGTGTCCACACCGATAGGGTGGAAAATTTAAGCAGATGTAAAGAGAGGCTGCTACTCATGGTAGAAGAAGCGTGGCCCAAGCTACTTCATGGGTAACAACACTGTCACCAGCAAAAATGTCCCCATAATGAGCATTCACCTTCTTAGAAAAGTTGAACTCCTGTGGTCATGTCTGACACTAAGACTTGATGTCTATGTCTAGCACCTGAATCCTTTACAAATAAGCCTCAGACATGGGTTCACCTCACAATGTGTGTGCAACCATTTTACTCTGAGTCCTCCAGGTTCAGTATGTCCCCTGGAGAAGGGTCACAGATGTCACTAGAACTACAAAGAAAGACCCTATCTCACAACAAACAAACAAACAAAACAAAATAAACCAATTCTGATACTGGCTTAAATGTGATTGAACCCTGAAAGCTGTGCACTGGGCAGAGTAAGGCTAGAGAGAAAAGGACAGATGTTTCACTACACCTGTACAAAGTACCCAGAAAAATCAACTGATCATGAGGTGGTGGTGGCACCAGGCAGGGTGGATGGAGAGCCATTTGGTGCTCTTACTGATGCAAGTCTGTAGAGATGGTGGAGTAGCTGGGTGCCCACAGAGTGAGTGTGCATAAGGCCACAGAACTGTGTACCCAGATATGGTTGAAAGATGTATGTTTTATATGGGTAATACAAAAAAAGTAGGGCTAGAGAGATGTCTCAGCAGTTAAGAACACTGGCTGGTCTTCCAGAGGTCCTGAGTTCAATTCCCAGCATCCACATGGTGTCTCACAACCATCTGTAATGGGATTTGATACTCTCTTCTGGCATGCAGGTGTACATACAGACAGAGCAGCATACATATTCATAAGTAAATCAAACAAAACAACCGCCTCCCATACTACTAAGTTACTCCCAAATCAGTTTCAAAGTAGTGTTATTCATAGCCACCTGCAGAATGTCCCTCATGTCCTAAATGGCCACACAGGCTTGATGGATCCAGCTGGTAGAGGAAGCATCAGGATTTCACCTGAGCTGTCTGCTCCAAGGGCACTTATCTGAGGTTAGACCAGTGGTATATAAGCCAGTGTGGACATTTGTTAGCCAGTGTAGACATTTACTAGCCAGCATGGGCACTAGTCAGTGTAGACACTCCTTAGCCAGTGTGCACACTTGTTAGCCAGTATGGAGATCCAAAGGTCTTAAAAGGCACCAAGAGAACAGAAGTGGCATTCTTGACAACACGTTTCTCTTTGGTGGAGTTTCAACTTTGTCCTAATAGTGAAAAGGGAAAAGGAGATAGATAGCATTAGGTAAATGTATCTGTTTCAGAACCTCTGCAGCTAAGACTGATGAATTGCTTTTGGGAAAGGAATGTGCTGCTCACATGTGCACAGAATCTTAAGCTTACCTTGTCTCAAGCTGATTTTCCGTAGCCATGTAACCCTGAAGGCAGCTAAAGAGTGAAATTAGAATGTGATTAGACGAAGGTGTTTGGACAGGTCATGCTGCTGCTTTACTGTGTGACTTAAGGCAAGTTCATTCCCCTCTCTGCTACCAGCTTTCCAAGTCTGTAACTTGGAATTTGTAACATTTGTTTCAGAGTCACTGTAAAGATCAGATGAAACTAAATGAGACTGTTAACTGTCAACTGCTGTGCACTGTTGCCATTATTATCATTTTATATTAGTAAATATGTTATATTAGTATTCTAAATTATCATTTTATATTAGTAATAAGACTGTTACTCATTAGAGTTATTTAATGTCCCTTGAAGTGACCTCCTGAAGAAAGGGATTCTTCCTATTGAATGCTTTGATTCTTTTTCATTAAGCTTTTGTGTTTCGGGGTGGTTTTAAGTTTACCATGGAATGTCTTGTAAAGCCCAGAGTATTTTCAGGTGCCACCTACACTTGCCAGTCTCCCCCACTGTTGGCACCCATTCTGCCAGTGTTTATTGAAAGCCTGCTACGTGCTGGTGAGGAGGAACTCTTCAGAAATGAATCCGTCTTTTCGAAGAGGCCCACAGTGGCTTCAGCAGTCAGGGAAGGACAGTGGACCAAGTATTCCAGTCCCCATGCAGGACAGAGTTGGGACCAATGATGGACAGCCACAAATAGTGCTGTGGATAGTGGAACCCAGGGTAGCCCAGTGGCTACAGTGGTGGATCTCTTACCTAGCATGTGCAAAGCCCTTGGCTCTATCCCTAGCACTGCACATAATAATAAATAAAATCCGCAAGGGCTGTGGTGGCACACACTTTTAATCCCAGCACTCGGGAGGCAGAGGCAGGCAGATCTCTGTGAGTTCAAGGCCAGCCTCATCTACAAAGACTGTTTCAGGACAGGCTCCAAAACTACACAGAGAAACTCCTGTTTTGAAAAACCAAAACTAAATAAATCCATGGATAAAGCCTCTACCCCAGGCTTCTGGAAGCCTGCATATCCCAGCTGCCCTGAAAGCCCCGCCACATTGAAGCTGGCTGACTCCCCCAAGGCATTGTATAAAAGAGGAAGAAGCCAGGAGCTCCAGCACTATACATGTGACCCCTGGCCTCTCTGCATCTTCTCAGCATTGCAGAGGTGTGGTTTTGCAGAGACAAAGTACTCCTGAGCTGTAGACTCTGGCCTTGCCACACTTTGGGCTGTAAACACTGGATGATTGCTAATGTTCACATTACAGGGTCCTGAGGACTCGGGAGTGGGTAGGGGTGTGTGAATCCTACTGAGATGCAGTACCTGCCTGCTCTGTGGGCACATTTCCTCCTTTACTTATGTGCCTACTCCCTCCTGGAGCCTCATTTCTCCTGGACTTTTCCAGACTTATTTCTTTCCATCAGAGATGTCTGGGAAGTCAGGATAATGATCTCCCTGAAGTGTTCTCGTGGACAGGTGAAGTGTTCACCTGTCTGCCATTCTTGATAGGCTCGGGACACCTTTCCATCTGCTCTGGCTTCCTTGTAAATTAGGATAGATCAGAATATGCTGCTGTAACAAGCAACCTCAGGGCTGGCTCAGTGGTAGATGACTGACTTAGTATATGGGGAGATTCTTAGATCAGTACCTAGTATCACCCCCCCAAAAAAGGCCATCATCTACATTATTAAGCCATTCTTGGTGATAGTGGTAGTGACATATGCACTATCCTAGCACTCAGGAAGCAGAGGCAAGCAGATCTCTGTGAGTTTGAGGCCAGCTTGGCCTACATAGTTTGCTCCAGTATAGACAGAGCAACATAGTGACACTGTCTCAAAAAAAAAAAAAAAAAAGTAAGCACAAACAAAACAAAACGAACAAATAACCCCACCAGACAGCAGAGCAACTTGCATCCTGCATGGAGGGGCAACTAGACCATGGGATGGACCATGGGCGGGGTTGCTGAGGCTCTGCACCCACCCCACCCCCCAGGACTGCAGATGGCAGAAGTGTGTGTCCGTCACAAGAGAATGGGATTAGAAAACGGCAAGCCTCCACCCTGAAGTAACATGTTTCACTGATCATTAGACGTGGTCCTCTTCTGAGGATGAGAAAGTACAGTTCAACTCTGGATTCAGAAACATGGCACACAGCTGCAGAGAGCCCTGGTAACATCCTCCAGCCCAGCCTTAACTGTAAGGCAGTGCATGTGATTCATTGTCATTAACGGGAAAGGAAAGAGAAGACCCTTAAAGTTACATCAGAACACACAAGAGTTAAGTGACAGATCCTTGTGACTTTGAGTTCCAAACCAGAGATTCCATATTACTTTTTTTCTTTTTCTAAAATTATTTTATTTATTTATTTTTATATATTATTGTTGTTGTTGTTGTTGTTGTTGTAAGATATTACTATATAATCCTGGCTTTCCTGAAATTCACACTGGCCTTGGCTCTGGGATTAAAAGTGTGTGCCACCACACCCAGCTTCACTTTTGTTTCTTAAGCTATCAGTATGGTGGTTTGAAAGAAAATGGCCCCCGGGGGGAGTGGCACTATTAGGAGGTACAGCCTTGTTGAAGTAGATGTGGCCTTGTTGGAGGAAGTATGTCACTGTGGGGGTGGGCTTTGAGGTCTCCCTTGCTCAAGCTTCACTCAGTGTGACACTCAGTCCACTCACTTCCTGTTGCCTTCTGGGTCAAGATGTAGCCAGCACCATGTCTGCCTGCACACTGCCACACTCCACACCCTGATAATAATGGACTGAGCCTCTGAACTGTAAGCTGCCACCTGGATTAAATATTTCCCTTTATAGGAGTTCCTTTAGTCGTGGTGTCTCTTCACAGCATTAGAAACCCTAAGACACAGATACAAGTATTCATGGTCTGCCCTCAACTCCATCTTCTACCCCTGCCTCTTTTGTGGTATCTCATACACTACTACTTCACAGTCACCAGATTATTTTCCAGGCTCTTTTAGAGACTGCTTGTCTTCATGGCTGGCTCATGCATGCAACACAGCATCAAGCACTGGGCTCTGCTGAGCAGGTTGGAGATTTCAGAGTCGATCAGGAATAAAATGATGTCATAAGCATGTGCTTAACCAGGTGAAGGGCATTTTAACACACCTCTCACTTCTCAGAATGCAGAATGACCTGCTGTCTGTGACACAAAAGTCATCAGGCTATTGTTCACATTTCAAGTCCCGGGGCTTAAACTCTCCAGGAGAACCAAGAATGGTGGCCTGGAGAGATAGCTCGGTAGTTAAGGTACTGCCCCTGCTTTCAGAGGACCCAAGTTTGGTTTCTAACACCCTCACCAAATGACTTATAACTGTCTTTAAATCTAGTTCCAGGAGCTCTGATATTTCTGGTCTCTGAAGACACCTGCATATGTGTGTCACAGATGCATATACATGTATACATAATTTGAAATCTTAAAAAAAAAAACTAAGAATGGTCTCTTGCAACTTTGAGCTTTCACAGTTTGGAAGCTGTGAATATAAACAGTTGCTTTCACAACTCAGATCCAGCCCCCATCCCCATTGCCTCTAGATTCTGGAAAGCTGGACAAAGTAAACTTCTGATATGTCAAATCACAAATTTCACATACCCCTTTACAATGTCCTATATGTGTATTTTATATTGTGAAAGGTTTCTGCTTTTTTTCCCTCTCTGTTTAGATGCAGATGTTGGACAAGTTCCCCATGGAAGGAGGTCAGAAGGATCCCAAACAGAGGATCATTCCATTTCTGCCAGGTGGGTGGGGTGCATGCTCTCAGACAGGACAAGCCTGTCCACTGAAGAACAGCTCCCAACCCCAAAAAGAGCATGCAAGCTCATCCTTCTCACGGAGGAGTTGGGGGCAGGTTCTGGGGGGCAGTGTTTCTCTCCTAGTTTGCTTTTCTGTTGCTGTGATAAATACCACAATGAAAAAGCAACTTTCAGAAGAAAGGGTTTATTTCATCAATTACATTTCTCTAGGAAGATGAAACAGGGACCAAGCTGGAACCATGGAGGAAGCTGCTTGCTAGCTCACCATGGCTTGCTCAGCTGGCTTTCTAATACAACCTACAACCACCGGCCCAGAGGTGGCATTGCCCACAGTGGGCTGAACCCTTCCACATCAGTTAACAATTCAGAACAGGCCACTCACACACATACACTCACACAGGCCAATCATATGGAGGCAATTCCTCAACTTGTTCCTTCTTCTGGGTAATCTCAGTTTGTATTTATTTGAAATGGTCCTAGCCATGTCAGACTAACCAGCACAGCTCCACTAACAAGAGTCTCAGCCAAGGGCAGATTGAGTAGCTAAGAATGGGCATATGCCTCTGACTAGCTGCGTGTCCTTGGGTGGGATCCTGCCATCTATAATGCTCAGCTTCTCAAGTGGGAGCTAGAACACAGGAGGTTTTCACAGTGGTATAACCACTGTGTTCATTTTCTGTTCCTACATCACAAGTCACCAACAGTTTAACAGCACAACACAACATTATTGCCTCAAAGTTCTGTGGGACAGAAGCCTTGGCAAGCTCAGCTGGGTTCCCTGTTCAAGGACAAAGTCAAGGTGTTAGCCAGGCTACACCGCCTACCTGGAGGTCCCAGAGAAAAACACCTATTCAATCTCATTCACATTGTGGTTGAATTCATTCCCTGCAGCCTGCTTGATGGCTGTCAGCTAGGGCCTTCCAGCATCTAGAAACTGCCTGCATCCCTCATCACAGGGAGCCAGGATGGGGCATAGAAAATTTCTGGAACTTCAGATCCTTCTGACCTCTGTGTCAGAGAAAGAAAGCTGTCTGCTTGGCAGGTTTCATGTGGTTTCCAGGCTGATCCAGGATAATGTAGGGCATGGAGTTTCCCATCATATCCACAGACTCTAGGGATTATGTTGGGATCATAATACAAAAATCTACAAAGCACCTTGAGTGCCAGCTGTTACACCAGCTGCTGCAAAGGATGCTGTGCAGTCTTGGCTCATACTTGTGTCCCTGGCACTCCCTTGCCCCTACCAAAGAGTAATGTCAAGGCTTTGGGTGAAAAAGAGGGGATTCCTCCGAAACAGAACCCACTCCAGATTTCAACAACAGCTACTTACAGCTGTCGTTGGACATCAGTGTTGGGCTGAGTGCTTTATGCTAGTCACCCCAGTTCATTCCCTACAGGTAGTTGGTATTACACAGCTGTTACAAAGGAGGAACTAGGGCCCAGAGAAACCACAGCTGTGTGCATGGTTGGCAGACCTGGGATTCTAACAAAGGGGTGGCTGGCTCCAAGCCTCATGCTGGAGTGACTTCTAACTTTGGCACCCTGGTCACACACACACACATGCAGCCCTAACCTTGGTGAATGATTCTAGCATGTTTGATTTCCTCTCTTGCACATTGGAGATGAGAATGGTACTATAAGGATGGTGCCCATAAGGATGGTGTAAATATCTTGACAGGTCACTGAGGGCCACTGCTTACTTGCTGTTGTTACACACGGATGATGGCCACACCAATAGCCCATGGTTTGGAGAACTCACCATCTTCTGCCTTTCATGGGTCCCTGTCATGCAGTCAGTAGGTTCTCAGATACTATCAGCCTGGCTGGGTTGAATATTAAGCTAGCTGTATTTGCTAGACCCCCTCTGCTGGGAAAATTCTTTGCCAAAAAAAAAAAAAAAAAAAAAAAAGGACAGAAACGTAACATTTTTAATCCCTCCACTGGAATAGAATCAACCACACTGGAATTTTTCTCCCACTGGAGAGAACCCCATGTGCCAGCTGCAATAGCCAAAACTCAGGACTGCAAAACACATGCTTTGGAGTCAACCCTCTTCAGCCCCGTGACTTTAATCACTACCCCAGCCTCTCCCTCCCCCCCCATTTCCACATCTGTTAAATAAGCCAGTGAATCTGCTTCACAAAGTTTAATTCCTGGCACAGAATAGGCTCTCAGCAAAGGCAGCAAGAGGACTGTTGGGGGCCTACCTTTGGGGGTTCTTGGTTTTGTATGTTGGAGTCATTCTGGAATGACCAAGAATATTTGAGTTCAGCCAGGCTCTAAAAGCCAGTCTTTCCTCAAGAAAGGGGGGAGCAGAAAACCGTAGCTTTCTTCTGGATGAAAGGCACAAGTCAGCTCTGGGAAACTTCCCAAGGTGGAGAAGTTGAGCCCGACCCTCTCCCCAGCCCTTAAAAGCCTTTGTGGTTACGTAATTCTTTCCCAGCAAGAATTCATGCAAATGCTGCTCTCGGGACCTAGCCCCTTTGTCCTTGTGCCCACTTCCAGATTGAGATCCCCCAGGGGTCCCGGGACCTCTGGCCCATCCATTCTGAGCCCACCTCTCAGCTATTCCCCAGGCCAGTGCCCTGGGCAGGAAGTGGGTCCCCTCTCCTGAGGTCAGCTCTCTACCCAGACTGCCTTGTCAGCAAGACAAAGGCGAGTTTCATGTTAGCACAAAGGCGGGGGAAGGACCAGCCTGTGTGGACTTTCCATCCCAGCAGGAGCTGTGGAGGCCAACTTGGCAGAGGATGCGACTTGAAAACTAAGAATTGCAGTTTGGCCTTCTTCCCTGTGGTAAACAAAAGCTGCCCATTCCCATCAAAGCCCGTCTTGCTTCTGGACACCCTTTCCACTCCAGTGTGGAGGCAGCCCCGCCGTCCTCCCTGACCCTCCCATCAGATCAGACCCTTGCCCATGCTGGCTGTCCTCACCCTTCACCAGAGAGGCATCACCAACAAGTAGGAACTGCTGAGAGTACTAGACTGCCTGGCTCCTGGCCTGAGTGTAACCTGGCTCTCATGTGCTCGTTGGCCCCAGAAAGCTGAGGGTGGGCGAAAGGATCAATGTGTTCTTAACTAGAGTGTCATGCATGGCCATGCTGCTTTGGGGGACACGGTAATTACTCCTTTGTAAGGTCTACCGAGGGCCAGGCTCTAGGTCTGTTGTAGAGGTGACCTCTAAGGAAAAGCCCTGTTCTCCCAGTTCACAGACTCCAGAGACCCTTGGCTCTGTAAGCTCAGTGTAGGAGGGATTGGTAATAGCCATCTAGTGAGCTCTTCTGCTACAAAGTGTCCCCAGAGGTCCCTTCAAGGCCACACCTTCTTTCCTTGTGTCATCCCTGGGAGACCCTGGAAGCACTGAGTTCTGTGCCTGAGGAGTTCCCACCCTCTCCGCTCCTCCTGGGGTGAAGCCTCAGCATTGACTCTGGCCTCCTTTACTTTCCATGGCTTTGATAAAACACCATGACCAAGCACAAGCCGGAGAATAAAGGGTTTATTGAGTTAAGATGTCCATGTCACAGTTCATCATTGAGGGAAGTCAAGGCAAGAACTGAGGCAAAGACGTGGAGAAATGCTGCTCCTTGACTGCTGGCTCATTCAACCACCTGTGTAGGGCAGACACCGCCCACAGTTGACTGGAGCCTCCCAGATGAATCATTAGTCAAGACAATACCTAACCTTAGGTTTGCCTGCAGACCCATCTTCTTTTTTCTTTTTTTTTCAAAACAGGGTTTCTCTGTGTGGCCCTAGCTGTCCTGGAACTCACTCTGTAGTCAAGCCAGGCTGGCCTCGAATTCACAGAGATGCCTACAGGCCAATCTTGTGGAGACATTTTCTCATCTGTGCTTTCCTCTTAGATGACTCTAGCTTGTGTCAGGTTGACTTAAAAAAAAAAAAAAAAAACTTAACCAAAACAGACTCTATAGCTGGGTGATGGCTTTGAACAAGTCTGTTCCTTGTGCCGTAGGTTGGCAGTAGTGCCATGCTAGTTGTTAATACTTTGAGCCCACTTACTACCTTTACCGAAAGAAGCCTGAATAGTGCTCTCCCTCCCCCCCCCCACATGCAGAAGGGAACTGACACCTATTGAGACCACATTACTTTGGGTTGCGGGTAGAGGATCCTCTCCTGTTTGAGAAGCAGATGAGCCGAAAGCATTAGCTGCCCAGGGCTACTCCACAGCATCACATTCTTTCTTAGTCCTGAGGCCTCACAGGCTTGTGACACTTCAGTGGAGTCTAGCTTACAAGCAGCCCTACCTGCAGTGGCCAGTGAAAATGATGAGGGCTATTTGATTGTCACATTGACTGGGGTTGGGAAGGCCACTGGCTCAATCTGGAGTTGAATTGGAAATGATGGGTTGGGGACAGTCCTGCCCTGGAAAGGATGCCCAGAATCCCATAAAGATGCCTCCCTGTTAGGGCCACCAGCAGAGCCTGTTGCTCCCCACCCCAGTTCCCATGGGGATGGTCCATTGAGGAAAGCAGGTTGTCAGCACTGCCCCCCTCTTCTGTGGGAGGACACGTTTGCGGTTCTAAAAGCAATATGATAGAAACTTTAGGAAAAGCTTAGAGAAAAAACATGATCTGTCATCTGCCACCCAGAAGACGAGGCACTCCAAACCCTTTGGTGCATTATCTCCGAGAGTTTTCTTTTCTTACAAACATGGGTAGATCAGAAAGGTACAGAGTCATTACAGAAATAGCACACAAGTTTAGGAAACCCTTAGACAGGAGCAGAGACATAAATGCTGGAAGGGAAGGGGGCTGAGTTTCCACTCTGAGCTATCCACACAGCTGGAGGGTCTTGGGTTGCACAGGCTCAGCTTGGAAGAGCCCTTCCTGCAGGGGCTTTTCCATATGGTGTCACCCAAATGCAGAAGCGAGAAAGGGGACCTCATGGAAGCAACAGGTAGAGTAGTGGTTACCAGAGCCTGGACAATCGTGAGAATGGTTTTCAGTGGGAGGAGCACAGTATGGAGCCACACCTGACAACTATAGATTGGGGTTTTCAGAATAGCTGGTAGACAGGTTTTGGATATTTCTAACAGGAATGAGGAATGCTGGAAGTGAGTGAGGGCCATGCCAGTCATCCTCACCACTTTGATTCCACATATCATAGTTTTACAATGTGGTCCATAAATATGTATAGTGACTGTGCCATCTACTATGTTGAACCTACTGGTATAGAGATGTGTCAACAAGGCTCTGAGTTCAAGCCTCATGAAACTTTAAAAGCTCTTACCAGTATTCTCCCCAGCCACTGTAGCATCAGAGTTCCAGAGCTCAGCAGCAGAGTTCCAGAGCTCAGCTTGGCATTAGTTACCCAGGCTGTCTCCCAGTGTAGACTGGAAACACTGAGCGCTGCCAGGCCCATCCCAGACAGCCACTCCAGGTGCAGAAGGCAGGCCACTACTTCCTGCCTTGCTGAATGTGTTCTCATCTCCTGCAGGCAAAATCCTCTTCCGCCGCAGCCACATCCGGGACGTGGCTGTCAAACGCCTGATACCAATTGACGAGTACTGTAAGGTAAGCTGAGATGCCAACACCATCTTCCCTCGTGGGTGTTCTGTTTTGTTTTCCTTTCTGAGTGCCAAATGTTCATGGGAGGGTGGGAAACAAAACAAAACAAAACATACAAATTCCCCATGCTACTATGGAATCAACCCTAATCCACTTTCGGCAGCTGTGTGGTGTTGCCCTGGGCATGAATGTTCCAGTCAGCATTCAACCCCTATTATTGATGGAGCAGCTGGCCTCTTACTCCTTCAATGTGCCAACAGGGGGAGGCCTGCCTTTTGGTGACGTTGGACTGAATTGGATTGTATTGGTAGGGAAGGAAGCATGTTTTCATTTCCTTTGGTTTCCCTGTTAGGTGAGCATAGTAAGACCACAGGATGCAGGTGCCACATGTTGTCTCTATAGCCAGAAGTGGAATTGAGAAGGCACTTTCCACTCGGGTGTGCTAGTCAGCAAAGTGCTTGCAACACAAACGTGAAGTGCTGAGGATGGCATTAGGTGCCTGTAATTCTGACCTTGGGAGTGGAGACAGGCAGGTCCTAGGGGCTCCTTGGCCAGCCAGCCAGCAAGTTCTGGGTTCTGTGAGAGATGCTGTCTAAAACCTGAGGTAGAAAGCAGTCGAGAAAGGCACCCAGTACCAACCAGTGGCCTTTATCTGCGCCCATGCACATGTGCACATGTACATATAACATATACCACATACACACAAGAGGGTGGGAAATTCTGCTCACACCAGCTTCAAAAAAAAAAAAAAAAAAAAGCAAAACCCTTAAAAATATACTTAACTGAAAGTACAGGATTTATACACTGAACCCCAAGGCATTGCCAAGCAGAATTCAGTTCTGAGTAAGGCCAGCTGTGGTAGTGATCACCTGTATCTGGGGCAGAAGCAGAACTCTGTGAGTTCAAGGTGAGCTTGATCTACATAGTTCTAGGTAGCCAGAGTTGCGTAGTGAGACCCTATATCACAAACAAACAAACAAACAAAACCTCCTAGCTGAATGGAAAGGCATTCTGTACTCATAAGTTGGAAGACTAGAAATTGAAAAAGCAACCATTCTTTGGAAATTTAATCCAGTGGACTTCATAGTGGTTGCCTTAGTTAAGGTCTCTGTTGTTGTGAGGAGACACCATGACCACCTCAAATCCTTCAAAGGAAAACATTTAATTGTGGTGGCTCACTTACAGTTTCATAGGTTCAGTCCTTTATCATCATGGTGGGGAGCATGGTGGCTTGCAGGCAGACATGGTACCGAAGAGACAGCTGAGAGTCCTACAGGAGAGTCCTACACTGGGTGATACCTGAACATAGGAGACCTCAAAGCCTGCCCCCACAGTGACACACTTCCTCCAACATGGCCATGCCTACTCCAACAAAGCCACATCTTCTAACAGTGCCACTCCCTATAAGATTATGGAGGCAATTGCATTCAAACTACCACAGTAGTGCTGACAAGATCAACTCTGTGTGTGTGTGTGTGTGTGTGTGTGTGTGTGTGTGTGTGTGTGTGTGTGTAAATGCAAAGGACCTTGAAAGACAAGTGTCACTTGGGAAGATCTCTGTGAGTTTTCCTAGACTCCCTACAAAGCTGCAGTAGTCCAGACTCTGTGATACTATCCTAAGGTCCATGCACAGATCAGTGAACAACATTGTGAACATGAATAAATGTTCCAAAATGCCAGGCTAAGTGATACCCATCAAGATGCCAAAACATTTCACAGCGGAACAGTTTTTCATAAACAGATGGGACAACTAGTTACTGCATAGTTCATTGGGGCCACAAATCATCACAGACTTGGGGATTTCAACAGCAGGACTTGGTTTTCTGTCAGTTCTGAAAGCTAAATTTGAGTAGCAGAGTCTCCCAGACTTTATCCTTGGCTTGTAGTTAGCTGTCTGTGACTATGCAAGATGTGTTCTCTTTATATATCTGCACCCTAATCCAAAAGGACACCATTTATATGGCTCAAGGCCCGCCCCTAATGATTCTGTCTAATGTTCAATTATGTCTGTAAAGATCCATCTAAACATATCACTCCTAAGGGGTGAGAGCTTTAACGTATGGACTTGAGGGTGAAAGGAGGACATAGTTTCAGCCCACAGCATCTGTACACATGCAAAAATACATGAACTTGAGCCCTTACCTCATACTTTGTACAAAAATCAACTCAAAAGGGGTCACAGGAGCTTCTGACACATGGAAACCTGAGTTTAGATCCCTAGCACCGGCGTAAAAAGCCAGATGTGACAGTGTCCATCTGTAATCCCTGTGCTGGGGGGAGAAGAGACTCTCGGGCCCAGTGACCATGTAGTTTAACTGAATTGGTGATGTCTAGGTTCAGTCAAACATAGTCTCAAGAAACAAGGTGAGCAGTCAATGTCCAGTTAGACCTGTCACACCCACACACACAAACCTGTGCACATAGGTGTGAGTACACATGTAAAAACATACACAGAGTGGACCAAAGCCCTATATAAAAGAGCCAAAACTGTAAAACTTCCAGAAGAAAATATGGAGGAAATCTTCATAACCCTGGGTTATTAAATGTGACACAAAAATAATAGTCCTTAAAAGATAAATTTGGCCATGTTAGCCATCATCAAATCTATTGACAAACTTCTCTGCTTTAAAAAACAAAAACAAAAAACAAAAAGCTGGGCATAATGGTGTATACCTTTAATCCCAGCACTTGGGAAGAGCTCTGTGAATTTAAGGCTAGCCTGGTCTACAGAGCAAGTTCTAGGACAGCCAGGGCTACATTGAGAAACCCTGTCTAATCGTGGGGCAGTGGTGCCAGATGTTAGTGAGGATCAGGGGAAACTGGAGCCCTCGTCCTGGTAGGACATAAGATGAGAAACCTTGTTGGGAAATAATGGGGTCATTTCTGCAAGGCTGAGATGGAAAGACCACAAAACCCCAGGCCAGCCTGGGTACATAACAAGAACCTTTTTCAACAAACCCTGTGAAACAATCAGCCCTGGGTCTGTCCTAAGAGAAAGTTTATGTCTGCACAGAGTCTTGGATGCTAACATTCCTAGCAACATTAAGTCTTAATAGCCAAATGGGAGGGGTCGTCTACAACTTGATGCTATCAAGCAATTAAATGTGGGTAGATTCTACAACCTAGATGAATCACAGAAACATGATGCTAAGTGAAAGAAACCAGATGCAAAAAGTGACTGATAGAATAAAATGTGGAGGCAGGGTGAGTTCATAAGCACAAAAAGCCAATGAACTGTTTCCTGGACCCTGGGACCGTGGGAGGGAGATGGACTGCAAATTTGATGTTTGGGATGATGGATAGGAAAGTTCTAAAGCTGAATTGTGGGATAAGGCTAGGACTCTGTAATTTACTAAATACTGCTCTGGGCACTTCCAGTGAATAAGTTTATGGCATGCAAATTACACTGTAATAAATCTGAAAACTTTTATACAAAAGGGGTCAGTGTCAGGACAGAGGGGCCCTCTTAGTCAGTCGACATCTAGTAAGGGCTGAAAATCACTCCTGATGGAGTTGTCTGCTCCTGGTCAGACATGACCTTCTTCCAACCCTCCAGTGACTATGCAAGGTGGATTTCCACATTCCTGTTGTGTAGATGAGGAAATGACGCCTCACAGCTACTCATAGTCACAGTGTTGATGGGCTTGCAAGCTGAGCCCAGACTTAGCATCCTGGGTACCAGTTACTGTCTCTGAAGAAATAAAAATGCAAGAGGTTGAAGTAATTGGGCCTGGATTGTGTCGCAGTCATGGTCTGAATGCAGATTGAGAGCACTCCTCCAATGTTCCTGTGATGGACATTTGACTTTCAGGGTAGCAGTTTGCAGGTGGCATAGCCTGAAAGAACTGGGTTTCATACTGGCCTCAAGGGAATCCATTTTTTCAAGAGCTTGCTGTTAGAAAAACCAAGACCATCTAGTGTTCTTGTCCCCTTTTGCATTTCTCTACCATGTTATGACACAGCCAGAGGCTCTGGCCAGCCCCACAATTGTGAGCCAAATAAACCTTCATCTCATCAAGGACCCAGCCTCAGTTGCTTTTGTATTTCAACAGGAAACAGATTAACAAAGGCAGACAAACTCCTCCCCCCTAACTACCGTCTTCAGAAGGGGTGGGAGGCAGGGACAAGCACTTTGCTACTACCTTCCAATTCTCAGCGGAAAGTCCCAGGTCTCAACTATAAAGCCTGAAATTGCCATTTTGGAGGTAACATCCCTTTTGTCCAGGCCCTGCTGGCAAATACTTTAGGTCCTTAGGGTCACCTTGCCCAGCTGGACAGTTCCTGCCTGTACATTTCCCAGAAGCTGCCCTTCCTCTGCCCACACCTTCCCACCTTGTTCTTTCCTTAGCACACCCACGTCTCTCCACCTCCAGCTGCACTCATGCCCGGGGCTTCCACACCTCTGGACATCTTATTTTGAAAAGGGGATTTTAGAACTTGAAGCTATAAGAGTCACCAGCTGCCTACAGCTGCCTGGGTTGCAGGATGACACTGAGATCATGGATTAACCACAAGTAAGAAACTGCTTAGGTTATACGAGCTGAGCCCTGCAACAAATCAGAAGAAACAAAGCCACTACTTTGATATTTTGATTGTCCAGATTCCCTGGGTCAGCATCAAAGGACCTGCCCTCTTGGGGAGGAGATAAAACTGTCCCTTGCATCACAAGATCTGCACTTCAAGATCCTTAAGCTGTTCCTAACATTTAGACATCTGTTAGGGACATTGTGAACTGACTTAAGGCAATGAGATCCATCACACTGAGCTTAATTTTAGTAGAAAATGGAAACCTCCAACAGGTAGAAATAGGCAAGGAAGGACTGTTGGTACCCAAACCTGGCTGCTGGGTGTGTAGTAAAATACAAGAAAGTGCTCTGCCAGGCCTAGTGTCAAGCCACCATCCTTCACAAAATTATCACCAGATAGAAAAATCTACTGGAAACAAATTGAGACCCCAGAAACAGACCCCTGCAGGTTGGGCAGGTTGGGCGTGACAGAGACAACTT